ATTACTGTCTCAGGTAACTTTTATGCAAGGTGGAGCAGCACTGCACATTGGTCTATCAGTACAGTGGCTGTTGTATGTATCCATACAGTGTATGGATGTATGTAGAAGAAAGGGATATAGATTGCTTTTTCCCCACTTGCATGTGATTTTATAGTGTGGGTTTATTTGAGTTTCAAGGTCTATCAAAGTCATCTTAAAGGACATTTCTGAGCATTCCTAGAGCCATGTTATGTTCAGCTGTTGAGAATTTGTTGTACAGGATGAGTTCACGAGAAGGGTGGTCACATTATAAAGGGTCTATGCCTTCGCTGAGGAAGTGCTTTTATTGAATAAAGTGTTTTGAATCAATACTATAGCACACTGAAATAGCTCAGTAACCTTTAGGAAAATTCATATTTTGTATTAAAGCAGTGTTGTACTGAAATTTTTATAATTCATTTGTCTTATTCTCAGCTGTGTAGACTATAACAGTGCCACATTTTCTCCTATTGGCGAATTTCCAAATGTAATTTTTTTTCACGGAATCATTTTCCCCATGTTATCATTACTACCTTATTTGGAGGCATTTTAGCTGATAGATCAAGCTACAAATAGCTCTGAGTAGTATCAGTTTAAAAAAAAAAAAAACTGTACATGTCTTGAAGTAATTAAGGAAGTACGACAGCCTTTCTTGAAAAACCTGTGCAGTGCTATAATAAGAGTGCTTAACTTAAAGTAATAAATTATGCATAAACCTATGCTTTTTTATGTAAAGGGTAGTTCAGATTACTCTATTAAGCATTTTTTCTAGAAATGACACAAATTACAAGTATGGCATGTAGATATTATAGACAATGCAGAAAAATCTGGAAATTAAAAACTTGTTCCAAAATTTTCCCATATTGAGAAGTGTTGCTGTCAAGAGGAATTTATATTCTACAAATGACTTGACTAATACTGAATCAGACAGTATGATAGCTGTTTTCAAGATGCACGATGATGGTAACTTGTGTAATCATGCCTTATTTCTGAAACATTACTGTTAATAATGTAAACATAGCTACCGTTTGAATGTTCATTCCTATTAAAAAAAAAGACATTTGTTCTCTCATAGTACCTGGATCACCACTGTCAAAAAACAGGCACACTACCCTTTCAGATAAAGGAATATAAATATATGATAAAATCTGAGATTATGTAGAAAACTCAAATCACTGGTCTTTCAGTTATCAAGTAGTTGAAAACTTAGAATCAGCCATTACCATTTGTAGTTAAATTCTCTTGCACTCAAAGGTCCATTAAACGTATTTTGCGCATGCGCACACGCATATTCGCAGCCATAAAGGTCTTGTGCGCATGCGTCTACACTACGCATGCGCAGAAAGTTTGTAGCTTTGAGGTCCGGATTATAGATCATTTCGGATTATGGGTGTCCGAATTAACGACTTTTGACTGTATGACACACCTGTATTGAAAGGGCTAAAGAGGGGAAGAAGAATCTTAAGCTGAGAAAAGTTTTAAAAAAATTTTAAATTATAAAGCCATTAAATGAGTTGAATAGTTTACATAAGATTAGTTTTTAAATTGTTATCAATCATTTGTGCAAGTAGTTAAAAAATTAACTTATTTTAAGAAATAAAATTTTTCATACCTATATTTTAATATAAACTTCCATGTCTGTTATATGCATTTTCAGTGAAAATTCTATCAAATGCAAGGCACTGAAAAGTTAAATCTATGAAGAAACATGAAAATTAGATATTTCTGACCAATTTTCTTCATGTCACATACAGATGTATTATTATTCATAGAAAATAAAACTTGTTTGTGATGGGAACTGAAATAAAAAATTTTGATGCCAGACCATTTTTTTCACACTAAAAAGAAAAAATTTAATGGCAGCACATGTGCATGATAAATACTGTTATACAATATTTAGTTTCACCTTTAATTTTAGTACGGCTGTTCTAAATGTAGCCATTGCAAAAATACTGATAGAATGTTCATCTGGGTTTTAAATATTAATCATATTAATAGGATGCCATCACTTTATCTCCAAAAGTTTTGTAGATTAATAAAATCAGTTTTCTACCCGCAAATTTCCTTCTCTTAGAAAACATGAAGATTCTGTCGTAAAAGTGAGATTTTAAAAAATGCACATTAGAAAAGTAATTTAAATTGCTAATTAGAAATGTTAATGTAATAGATTTATTGAATTTGAATGTGAAGGATGGTAAATTAATGGTGCTTGGTTATGACCACAGGTGCAACTAGAAGGCCTAACTGAGATAACTAGTGAAGTATTTGTAATATAGCATAAAATTTATTAAATATACATACTACATTATTTTTAAAGTCTTATATTTACTTACAGAAATTAGAACACATGTGAAAGTATCAATAGTAGGCATAAATAATGAATAAAAAGGCTTTCCAGAAAATGGCACATTGCTGGTTACATATTTCAGTGATTACAGAAACTTCTTTTTTCTAATGGGAAATGTATAAGCAGATGAAACAAAGTACCTAATAGTACCTTTCTGCATTTTCTATATTTCATTTAAAATCAATAGAGAGAGTATGAAAAGTAATACTCAATTTTCAGTTCTAAGAGGTTAAAAAAAGTAACAATCAACATTCGTTGTGAGAAAAAGCTCTTGGTTGAACACAGTACACACTGCAATTATATTTTGTTCAAAGCAAAATTATCCCAAATTGCTAGTCTTTTGAAAAATAAAATATTAACTAACCATTATAAATTATTCATTAATATTTAATTATGTATTAGTAAATTTAATGCTTTGTAATTAATCTTTGGGAACTTGTTCTTTAAAAAGGAGAGCTAGTATTATTTAACTATTGAAATACAAACAGCCTTTTGATTTTAAATTGACACTAAATGAAATTTAATTTCCACTGATATTTATATTCAAATTAGAGAATCTTTTTTATTTATTAGTAAAGACAGTTGTAAGAAGAGTAAATTTAAACTGCAGAAAAGCTAGCTACGTTCTCCAAGAAATGGCAATGCAGAAAACAATAACTTCCAAGCCCATTCCATCTAATTACTGCTTCAATACTAATTTGAAAAATACCATATAATATAAAAAATAAACTAATACATTGAATAAAAATCTAACAATCATTTCTTCAGAATCCTAATAACATTACTTTTCTTCATAACAGTGCGGTATATTTTATATTTCGCTCACTTCAAAAAATAAGTCTGCATTCCTGCACTAAAAAAAGTCTCTAATTAATTAAAGGCAAATGGGATCTGATATCACAATAAATAATAGTGAAATACATTATGTACAAAGAACAGCACATCTTACCTCTTAAGTAACCATTTAATCTTGTAATTTTAGCACTATAATTTAAGGAGATAAAATGGATTACATTTACAAATGCACCAACAATCAATTCTTTTACACTGCTTTGATACAATTAAAATATTGCACAAGTCTAAAATATTAGTAATGAATTACAGTATCATTTACACCCATAGATACTAAGTATTTTTCTCCTTTTGAAGCAGTTTTATAACAGGAAATATTGTGATTTAAATTTGTGTGTTTATATATATACACACACGCGATCTAAAAATGTGTTTATATATGTATGTTACGGTGAAACAATGAAATCTGGAGAATGTCGACTTTCACCGGTGAATGTCAACATTCACATAGTCTCTTGGTGTATGTATGAAATATTTTCCAAATACTCTTATTTCTGACTTACACCAGTCAATGTCGACATTCACCATGTACTAATGGTGAATGTTGAACATATAACAATATTATATTTTCTTCTCCATAATTCAGTCGCGAATAAACCACTTGAGACTTGAAATAAGAACATGAGAACCTAAAACACACAAACATTCAAAAGGAGAAAGGAAAATAAAATACAGAAGTAAAAACTTAAAACTTACTTAATTATACAGTACGTTCTAAACGAGAAAATGAAATAACAGTAATAAAAAACTTACTAAATTATGTGATCAAATCTTATTTATTGCAACAACTTAAACTATTATGGCACTTTATGACCTCTCTTTTTGACTTTCACCAGAGCATAACGTGATTGTCGACATCGACATACACCGGTGAGGGTCCGAATATACAAGAATGTAGAGAAATATTCGGTCTTTCACCGACGTATTTGGTGAATGTTGATATTCTCCGGTGAAAGTCGACATTCTCCAATTTCGGTCTTTCACAGTAACATATATACACACACTCGCGTGCACGTTTCATAAAGCATGCAATATATCTGCACTAGGATCTATCATCAGTTCTCATGCTCAGGATTTCCCCCCTTTTTATGCATATGTGTAGACATCAGTCTTCATAAATAAAATATTGAAGATTACTTCCTTCTTCATTACGTCTTTTTAGATGAGTATCAAATGTTTATAAGAAATAAAACACTTATTTTTAACAATGTTTAAAACATAAATATGATACTCATCAATTTTTTTCCCTATGAAAATATTTTAGCATTCAAAAAAATATAAAAATGCCCTGAGCCACATATAAATATCTACATCACTTTCCACATGAAGAATAATTTTCATCCACTTTTTAAGCACATAAATCACAATTTTAAGGAAGAAACCTGGCTTCACTATGAATTGAGATCTGAATATGAGCTGACAGTAGGCACGACAGAGTGACCTGCAGGTATGTGTGTGACTGCAATCATTGAATTTAAGTACATTAAGTATGTTTGAATTCTATTATTAATAAATAAGTTACCTACACTTAATACCGATGCTCATACTAATAATTAATGGTTTCTTCATGTAGTTGAAAGTGATGTCCATATAATCTGGATGCTCAAAAAGTACATTCAAAAACAGTCAATGAAAAAATAAACTTGTAGCTATTTTACATACAATAACATATTACACAGTTTTACAGAACGCAGTATCACAGCATGAGTATTATAACTCATTTAGACCCAGATTACTATTAAGAATAATCCAGTTCAAGGAAAAGAAAACAACAACACAGAAGTAGAAAGAAAAAAGGAAAAAATAGAGTATATTTATACACCATTTTCTTTACATTAGGCTCTTTATACAGAATAAGATTGCATAGGTACTGTTCGTGAAATATGCATTATCCACTTCAGTAGTTACAATATTTTGAAAACAAATTTGGAATTTAATGAAAAAATTATCTTTGAAACTAAAAGTATTTAATTTGAAGGGGAAAAGTTCTTGTGAGTAAAATATGAAACATATCTCTCTTTGGGAAAAAGTCATAATTTAAAAATTTTAACTATATACATGAACTCCAGAAGGCGTTTTTGTGCATCGTTTAAATGCAGGGTGAAGATACATAACAAAAAATATTCACATAAATGTTCAACAGAACAGATTCATATTACATCATGAGTGGAAACTTTTAAGTTTACTAGTTTCAACTGCACTAACCCTTTAAGTGCCTAAATGGCAGCTGTTTTCAAAGGGTTTAAACTATACATCAGAATAATATCATAGACATTGGATACAGTTTAAACTGTCAAAGAAAAACCTATATACATATATTACAACATGCATGACTACAGTTAATCAAATTTTCTACTTTTAGTCTCTCATATAAATAATTATACTAAAATATGACATTTTAACAGGACATCATAATTTTATTTTTGAAATACCATCATAATAACTAACATTTTTTGCAAAATCTGTGAACAAGCTACCACATTTATAATATGTTCATCTGAAATTAACAATGTTAATATGCATCTTTAATATTAATGTTTAAAAGTATGTAACTCTTGAATCATTCAACTAAGATAATACTATGTGTATACTCGAATAAGCATATTGATACAAAAATAAAATGTTAAGAGAACTATGTAGGTTCAACAAGAATATCTGTAAAGCTTAAAATTCTCTGACAAAGTTTGAACTTTCCACAGATAACATGAAATATTTACTTATGAAATGAATAAAAATAGAAAAACTTAAAAAAAAAAAAAAAAAAAAAAAGATAAATATATCAAAATTCTTTTACAATATCATTTAGATTTCTACGGACACAGATGCATTGAATATGTTTCATTATTTACAGAAAACACTCACTTTTCAGCATCATGCTTCAGAAGGATAAAGCAGTCTTGTTCTTTCATTAGTCTGTTCAGCAGTACTATTGACTGAAGATTTTTTCTTCCCATTTATACCATCTTTCAGTTTTTTGCCAACAACTATTTCAACAGAATCACAGCTTTCATGATTATTTTCATCTTCAGCTACACTGTTCAAGCTGTGTGGCATATCAATCAAGGGGATTTCTGCAGGATTTGAAAAAATGCTAGTTTTTAAAGCTTCTTTGCCTTTCTGAGCTTTTGAATTTCCATCACTAATTATTGCATCTGGATATCGACTTATGCAACCTACTTCAACACTAGCACGGCGTTTAACAACCTCACTAGTAGAAGTCACAGTCGGAATTCGGTTTGTAATGGGACTCGGATTATTTTTTTTATTATTTAATACTGGACTAACATTCACAGAAGAAAGATCGGGTTGTAAATGATTAAGAGATCCCGAAGAAGAAAACTGAAAATCCTGCTCCCAGTTGTTATTAAATATCTCTTCATTATCAGGATCCAACCTGTGATGTCTTTCCATAAGAGTTGCTCGATATGCAGCAAGATATACTGCCCAGTGGATTTTCATATAAAGTGTTTCAGTAATAGCTACAACAGTGTAATCTGGAATGAATGTCTTGGAGACAGAAGTATCAGAATTAGTTGTTATACTTGTTAGACTTTGCAAATGATGCTGAGAAGATGTCTCACCTAGAAATGCAAAAATCAATTAATAAACACATATTAAATATGAACATAATTGAAATTTGACCTATGCTACATTAGAGAGCAGTATATACCAGTGGTGTGGAGACTGGGGGTTGCCAGATCCAAAGAAATTTATTTGTCAATAAAAAATATAAGGCATTTAAAGAGACTTATGTATGTTTTTTTAACATTCCCCAAGAATTTTAAACAATTCCGTATTTAAATTTTTATTTTATTGTTTTCCACTAGATTTACACGTAACACTTGATATTTTCCAAGCAGTTTGAGTCAAAATTCAACTGCACATGCACCTCCTACCCTTTTCACAGCAAATTGAGACAACAATGATCAGCATGTAAAATCAAACCAACCAGAAGTCCACCATGATAAGTCGTCACGTTTCACTGCACGAGGCATACAGCGGAGGCTTACTCAATTTATTCCAATCTCTTTGATATCAGTATTGTCTTATATGCATTTTGCAGTTATAATATAGTATATCGTTTATAAACTGCATTTGTTAATTGTAACCAAATTCGTTGTCAGGTAAGTACATAATTTTTTTTAAGTATTGGATAATTTAGTAGCTTGAAGCTCGAAGAGCATGCTGCTTCAGTAGCATGCTCGAAGGGTAATTAAAACAATTTTGTTTTAATTGCAATTTTGTTCATGTTGGATAAATGGCTAAAAATAGGTACCCAATATTCACAACAGAATGACAATAAAAATGGGAATGATGGACCAATATCTAATAAACTTAGAAAAACTATTAATGAAACTGGAAAAAAAAAATCACTGGCTCTGTTTGTAGTTCTAATAAAAAACTGAGAAAATATGAAGACTAGTTTATTAAATACAGTTTTACACATTGTATTATCAATGGAAATGAATATCCATCATGTGTTAACTGCAGTGAAAAATCGGCACATGAAAAAAACCAAACATTCAAATTTAGTAAATAAATCTGAAGAATTTTTTATGAAATGACATCATGAAAAATCAAAATGTATTTTAAAAAAAATACACAACAGTTCCTGAAAAGGCTTTACGTGCATCCTTAGAAGTTCCATATTTAATTGTCAAAAATTTAAAACCTCCTACTATTGGAGAACTGCTCTTTCATCTCCATCAATAAAAATGACATCAATTATTCATGCAGAAAAGTAAGGTAACGGTTTAAAAACAATACCATTATCAAGAAATACCGTTCCTCACCGAATTTTTGCCATATCACATAATATAGAAACAAATTTGTTAAATCGAATACAAAATTCTGCCGTCTTTGCTACACAACTTGAATAAACTACTGACATTCCTAAAGTGTCCCAATTAATTGTTTATATAAGATATGTTATAAGGTATTTCTCTCACCTTCGTGGTGTAGTGGTCTGCATGCTCAGCGCGTAATTGAGAGGTCCGCGGTTCGATTCCTGGCGAAGGCGTTGCATATTTTTCATCTCTCCTTCTTCAAAAATACTTAATGTCTCTACAGTGGCACTCGAACTAAAAAAGGATGTTGGATGATGATTCTCTTCACCCAGGATTTGGCAATTGGGTCCCCTAAAATCCCCATTTTCCCTTTAAAAGGGGGAGTATATAAGGTATTTCTCCCACCTTCTTAGTGAGCCTTCATGGTGTAGTGGTCTGCACGCTCAGTGCGTAACTGAAAGGTCTGTGGTTCGATTCCAGGCGAAGGTGTTGCATGTTTTTCATCTCTTCTTCTTCAATGTCTCTACAATGTTTCTGAAGATGAAATAGTACAAGATTTTTGGTCATAAAATTTTGAAAGGGAAAACAACTGGAGAGGAAATACTTGAAATTATAAATAGATATTTAGAAACAAATAACCTTACCTGCAGACACTGTGTCATAGTTTGTACTGATGCTGCAGCATTAGCAGATAATAATAAAGTACTAAGATGGTTAATAATGAAAATTGCTCCTCATTTTAGTATTCTGCAGCAATCATTGTATGATAGCCTGACAAGCTCTTGTTGCAAAAGACATTGATTAAGAATATCACAAGATATTACAGGATGTTATTATTGCAATTAATTATACTAAAAGCATAACAGTCTTCTCTTTTCAATACTCTGTAATGAGATGGGTTCTGTAAATGAGACATTATTATTACATACCAAAGTAAGATAGCTCTCATGTAGCAAAATACTGCGACATACTTTCAACTTGAGAAATTATGTTTACATACTTTTGAAAGAAAACAAACATATGTTGGCAAGTTCATTCATTAATAACAACTGATTAGGAAAACTCAAGCTGGTAACAACAGCACTCGAACATGGTAGACATTTTCGAAAAACTTAACATTTTGAATTGAAGTCTACAAGAAGAAAGTATGAGGGCTGTTTTTTAAGTAAATACTGTTGGCGCATATAGTTCCCTAGTTCGCATGTATGCCGCAGCGAATCGCTGCACCACTGACTAGCATCCTTTGCAAACAAACTCATGCCAGTTTCAGCTCTGTAGCAGTCGTGTAAGCTTCGCTGTGTGTCTTCAAAATGTTTAAGGTGATTGAATTGCCCACCACATGTGAGATACGATATTTTATCAATTTTTTGACTGTGAGAAACATGTCGGCTGCAGACATTCATCGCCAGATAACAGAAGTTTATGGCACTGAAGCAACAAGTGATAGTATAGTCTGGAAACGGGTTAGGGAGTTTAAAGATGGGCGTACAAACGTCCATGATGAAGAATGCTCAGGTCAGCCCTCTGTAATCACTGATTGATTTGGTGCATACAGTTGAAACAAAAATTCGTGAGAACAGGAGATTCACAATAACCACCCTTTCAATGCAATTTCCCAAAGTTTTTTGGTCAGTAATATACAAAATTGTGACAAAATAGGTTTTCAACCTAAACTTTAAGAAATTGTGCTGTTGTTGGGTACCTAGAATCCTTAAAGCGGAACACACAGAGAAGAGGTTTGCCAGTCCATTGGACTTTTTGATTCATTACGAGGAATAAAGGTATGACATGTTGAGTCAAATCGTTAACTGGAGATGAAACATGAGTATCCCATATCACCCCTGAATCCAAGCAACAGTCGATGGAATGGCGACACACATCCTCTTCCTTCAAGATCAAAGCCAAACAAATGCTGTCAAAGCGCAAGATTATGGCAACAGTGTTCTGGGACCGGTGTGGTGTTTTGCTGGTGGACGTTATGCCACAAGGAACGACAATCAACTCAGGTGCTTACTGCGCAACTCTACAGAAGCTCCAAAGAATATTGTAAAACAAACGGCACAGTATGCTGTTAAAAGGAATTTTGCTTCTCCATGACAAAACAAGGCCTTACACTTCTCGAACGACTTGAGACTTAATCAAATCTTTTGGCTGGGAGGTCTTGGACCATGCACCATACAGCCCCGATCTTGCTCCCAGCGATTTCCACCTTATTAGGTACTCAAACTCCATCTTGGCGGAAAGCACTTCAGTGACAACAAAGAAAAGAAAGCAGCCGTGAACTCTTGGCTGTCCGAGCAGGAGGCAGACTTCTTTGAAGAGGTTTTCAAAATTTAGTTTTAAGGTATGACAAGTGCATTAATAAACTAGGCAACTATGTAGAAAAATAGGCAAAAGTATGTATAATCCTAAAATAAAGGTTTTTTTTTTATTGCATTATTTTTTTAAAATGGACCTTGCTTAAAAAACAGCCTACATACAAACATTTTAATGCTGAGCACCTAAAATTGAAGCTTTTAAAAAACTATGCTTTGGCAAGGAGAATTAAACAAAAACAACAGCTAATTGATATTTCAAGTGATGAAATGCTGTGTGTTCAATTTAAGTCTCTGACCTGCCAAAAATTCTGGTTATTGATTGGAAACGAATATGTCGATTTAAAAAAGGCGATCAATACTTTGATAGAGTTTGCATCACCCTACTTATGTGAAGGTGGTTTTTCAAAATTAATAGCCATTAAAACAATATACTGATCTTGATTAGACCCAGAGGATGGCTTATTGCTTGCAATTTCCAAAACAAATCCGAACACAGAAGCAGTCATGAACTCTCTCCAAGTGCATTTCTCGCACTGAATTCTTATATTATTTTCTAAAAGTATTTTTATTAAAGAGATATTTAAATATTTACTGTTTTTGCTATTATTATATGACTATATATGCATAAATAAAACTATTATTAAAGAAAATTATGTGTTTTATTTCACTTTAACTATGCTGACGACTGAAAAAATGTCGTCTGTCTACCAAGAAAGAGGTCGCAACAAAATTTATACAAAATGTGTGTGTGTGATTGTGGCAAAGCCTCAAGTGCTATCTGACTAAGAGGAGGAATGCCTTTGTGGAGGACTTTCTAAGGGAAACTGGCTCATATACATGTTACACATGGGGAAAACCACGAAAACGCCCATGCAGCCAGCATGTTCGCGGCATTTAAACTTCGGACCGAACTACCAGTGTTCAGCAACTTTACCGCTCAGCCGCTGGTGAGCCTACACAAAATGAGGGGTCGTACATCAAAATAGTTTGCACACCACTGGTATATACTCCATATAGAGCACTGAAACATCACTTTACAAAGCAGATAATTACATATATAGTACAAAGCTCACATTATACAAAACTCCTGAATTTTCCAACATCTAAACATTTATGATCTGCATTTTAAATATCATAAATTTTACATGTGCAAAGTTTTTGAAAAATAATTCAATTTTAACTTTATACAGTTGACGATAACCACCACTTGTGTTTTCCCAAAATGAGTACTGTAATTAGAGGTCGCTGAAATGAAAATTGAGTTCATATACAACTTTCATCAACTGAGGACCTTCTGTATGGAATACTTTAATGGAATGACAGTCATCATAGTAAGCGTCTACTGCACAATCAAATTTCTATAAATTAAAAATGACATTTTCTGTCTTCCATGCATCATGTATGTACAAGCAACATGTATCTTCATGTTGTATCATTCTACTGTTTCAATTCATTTCTTCTCCCGTCTATATAATACTTATTTTGCTATGTTGACAAAACAAGTGTTTAATTATTAGGTTAATCGCACATTTCCACATTTTTAATTATCAATAGATTAAAAATTATTGTGCCTTCTTATATAGATATATTGGATAATGATTATCCTATGCATTCTTACCGTAGAATATCTTTGCAATGAACTCGTTGAACTATTGTCACAATAGTTAAATCATCAGCTTTAATTCCCAGCACAATTTAAACTTACAAAACATTTTATTATTGCTTGCAACATATCATTTACAGAATATTATAACCCTGTATCATTGTTTACCTCTCTGAGAAATCACTTTTATGTACCAACAACTTTATTACTTTTAGCTTCTGATGAATGCTCAGAAGAAAATTGTTGTTTCTAGTTTTTGTGATGCTGTATCACATTAATACATATCGCTAAGCAAAGGATAATTTGACTAATTGGATAACGGTTAATTTTGCTTCCATTACGAAAAAGAGAAATCTATCAGTTTGTAAATGGCCCCATTTTTATATTGCTAAAAGGTAATAGCCGCCTCACACGGTTTTTTTAAAAAAAAGTTAGTACTACTGTTATACTTACTACTGAAAATTAAAATATGGATTGGTTTCTTTATTAGAAATTAGGCAATCACTTTTCAGAATACTGCAGTTTGGTAAGCGATATCCGTTTTAGAGGAATTTTTTGCCCAGGCATCTTAATGTCACCCAGCTCATATTTCTGACCGGCTACCAACTTTTTTGAATACTTGTCAAGATAATTTTTATTGACTGATTTAGTTACCGGATAACTCTCTAAATTCCTTTTTTCCATGAAGTAAATAAACCTGATATCATTAAAATGCGGTTTAATATTTTCAATTTTTATTTCAGTTTGATTGTCTTTAAAATGCTTTTTTTTTTTGTTAAGTTCACAAACAATTTATAATTAAATTTCAAATTCAGGCAACTATGCCATTTTTCTGCACAGATGATCAACAGCTCTATTGCAAAAATTTCAGCATCTAAACAAATGATAATGTACATAATTTTGCATTTGTTCAATATTTTATCATTCCGTTTTAACTCTCTTTACTTTTAATAAAATGTTTCACATGCATTGAAGAACAAAACCGGAGAGACATACCTGAATTTGCAGAAACAGTGATAGCTGGTATTCCAAAATAGCTGAAAGGACCTGTCTCAAATACAAGGTTTTCCTTACACACGGTCACACGACAACGGCCTTCTAAGATGAGTATAAAATAATCAGCTGGTTTACCAGCTTGATATAATATGTTAGCAGGAGCATTATAACCATCTTTACACTGTTTTGACTTGAAAAATATATTTTGGGTCATTAGCCTCTTTAAAACTGTCTCGGAGAGGTAAATATTTCGAAAGGGTTCTACAGCTAGAAGAAAACAATATAAATTAGCAAACAACTACAACTGTATACATACAGTAATTAACACATAAGGCTGAATACAAATTCTTTTACAGCATCTTCTTTATTAGAAAAAATTATGCAGTTTATATTTTTATTAAATTAAAAAATTTAAATTACACACCAAGATGATAAAAGATAAGTAAATCTTCTGCTACGGTATTAAAATGAAATAATAAACAATTATTTTTTAAAATATAACATCATTTTGTAGCAATTATTAGTTGGGAAAAATACCTGAATAACGTAAAAATAACAAACAGTGTAAGCCTGTTTTACACTCTCACACTGTAACAGTAACACTGTAAAGAGTGTAAGCCTGTTTTACGCTCATTTCTATAAATTAAGGATAATACAGAATCACAAAGAAATCGAACTCTAAACTAAAAATTTCACCTGTTGTATAATCGCACACATCTTCAAGAACAATATGCAAATTACAGGAAGTCATCAGATGACGCCGATAGTACATCCCAATGACGAGTGTGTAAGTGAAGTGTACGACGACAAAAAAGTGTACGAACGTATATAAGCAATGGTAGCAAAGAAGTAAAACTGTTCCCAAGCGTTCTGTAAGCCCCTCAGTGAAACAACTGAATAAATATGACACAGAGGACACAAGTGGCTGACTTTTTACATGGTAGAATTATCGGCCGCCTGAAATGTGGACGTACTCAGATGGAAGTATCCGAGGAAGTTGGAATAGCCCAAAGTGTTATGACTTTGGCAATGACTCTAAGGCTTTGGCAATGATTCCTAAGTGATGGAAATGTCAGTAGACATTACAGTACAGGTCACCCCAAGTTACAACGCCGAATGACGACCAGTATTCAGCAATAACTGCCAAAAGAAGCAGATGGAGCACAGCATCAGACCTATTTCGTCAATTACCTTCAGCCATGGGTATGAAAATTTCATTCAAACAGACATTTGGGACAGACCTGCCAGATGTGTTCTGCTCACAGCAACTCAATGTTGCCAGCCATTATGCTGGAGTCGAGAAAAGCAAGGTGGACATCATCACAGTGGGCTTGTGTGATGTTTTCCAGTGAGTCCAGGTTTAGCTTGCAGTCTGATTCACATTGAACTCTCGTATGGAGAATTCCAGATACTAGCTACCACTAACAAAGTCATTAGACGACACCATTACGGTGGTGCAGGATTGCTTGTTTGTGGTGGAATTATACTGGGCTCCAGAACAGATCTACCTGTTCAGATCGGAATCATGACAGGCCAAATTTATCATGACCTCATTCTGGAATTGCATGTAGATTTGTTCAGGGGTGCCATGGACATAGAATTTGTGTTTATGAATGACGACAACTGTTCATGTGGAAACATTGTAAAGGAATGCCTTCAATCTGAGGATATCACTCGTATGGAATGTTCGGCATTCTCACCCGACTTTAACCCAATAGAACATGTGTGGGACATGTTTGGCCAACGAATTGCAGCCAGTCAAGCATCTCCTACACGTGCACCGGAACTTCGGAGAGCACTGCTTGCTGAGTTGAGTAAACTTCACCAAGATCAGCTCAATAATTTGATACTCAGCATGCCTAGGCATTGTACGGATTGTATTTCATCGTTTGGGAGAAATACAATGTATTAACCATCATACTAATCATGTAATGTTAAATTTTTGGAAGGGAGATTATTTTTTGTAAATGCTCCTAGGAGTAAAAATCGTAGTTTTTACAAATGGTATCATACATACACCATCTTTTTTGCTCTTCATCATTTGTTTAATAAATGGGCTTTACGAATAAGTCACATTTGTTTTGTTTCTGAACCTTTACTTGCCGGAGCTGGCATTATCCTTAATTAAAGGATATAAGTGTATTTAGGGTATTATTAAATTGATAAATGAGTCGATACTTAATTTCCTCTGAGTTTTTCTTTTTTTAATTTTTAATCCCAATTCATCATCAAAGCATTTATTAAATTTTGAAATATGTGAAGAAGAAGAAACTTATCTGTGTGAGGCAGAATACTTACTATAAACTATAACAATAACTCAAACAACAAATTTCTGTTACTTATTATTACTGATCTCTTGATTACATTTTAAACTTTTCTTCCACTCAAGCGGCGAGGTTGGCCGCTGTTAATCAGTTAATTATGTTTTTGAAGATTCTCAAACAGTCAAAAGCTTTCTCTCTTGTGAAATTATTCATATTTGAACTACCTGTTGTTAAATTTGCATTTTTTCAGATCTCAGTTCCTCTTCGTCTTTTCATTCTCGAGACATAAGTATTATGGTTAAATAAATCATCACCATCATTATTAGCACTAACAAAAAAAATTGTTTAACACATGATGTTTGAAACCAGTTTAGCCTTTCTTGGATTTCAATTCATACTGCATAAAATTCTTTTTTTAATAATTTTTCAAGATCTGAAATATTATGCATAATTCAAGAATTCACTTTTAATATCTATGTGAAAATTAACGTAATTATCTGAGATAAAGACAGCAATTTGCCCTTCCATGCACCCACACACCCACTCACACACACACACACACACACAAAAAAAAAAAAAAAAAAAGGAAATGAAATGCGTATAATGAATTTATATTTTTAATAAAAGAAAACAGTTATATGAAACAAAAAGCTTCAAATTAATATTATTAGAAAACATTACTACATATCATTTTCATATATGCTTCATATTATTAAAATAATATATTAATCAAACTCTAGCTTTTCTAACAAATAAAAAGTTGCGCCAACTTTCAAATTCATGACAATAAACATAACATTTATGGTAATCCAGATTTTAAGAGTTTGTAACATCACATTTTTAAAGTCATCATGCAAAATGCCTTAAATGATTAAAAAATTATAAAAATTCTTAAAAAGTTTTTTTACCCCTCTTCTCCTCCTCCCTCTGTGTAAAACAGAACTTCAATAGCCACTAAGTGGTCTTTTTAATTTGGTCATGCATTTTTCTGTCCTAAAAATAGTTATATGTTTAGAATTATTCTTTCTCAAGTGTCGTTTCAAAATCAATTTCCATGATTCTTATGTGGCAAAGCTGGAACTGAAGTATTCTGTCCATTAAAGTAGTCTAATCAAAACATAATTAAACATTACAAAAAAAGCTTAACTACATGCATGACTTCGCTATTCTTATTATTATTTCTATAATACAGTCAAAAGTCGTTAATTCGGACACCCATAATCCGGAAAGATCTATAATCCGGACCTCAAAGCTTCAAACTTTCTGCGCATGCGTCGCGTTGACGCATGAGCGTAAGGCCTTTACGACTGAGAATATGCTTGTGCGCGTGCGCAAAATACGTTTACGAGTGCGCGTTTAATGTATAACGGAAGGTATAAGCTAAGCTAAAATTATTTAATTATCTATTTCAGTTAATGTTGCAGATTGCGTTGTTCCTTAATCTTCGAATTGGATCCGGCTTATTATTTTTTGCAGACTGTTAGAGCAATTTTATAAAAGTAAGCTTGAACTTCCGATTATGTCAAATAGAATTTCCGATATATATTTACTAATATGTAAAGGATCTACCAAAGCGAAAGTATGTTTCGAAGTCCATTAAACAAAAGTGGAATTGCTGCAAAAAATGACCTAACCATTCCGAAATCTGTTTATCAATTTCACGCTGCTCTGCGGCGGGGGATGTGGGGGACGGCGCGCAATGAATTGGAAGTTGATCTGTCAGCACTATCCGTATCTTCAGGGCAGATGTTTTCAACGCCGCGGCGCGCAATAAATTGGAAGTTGATCTGTCAGCACTCTCCTTATCTTAAGGGCAGATGTTTTCATTTTATTTGGCTTAATTCCTTACTAAATGTAGTATTTCATCTCGATGTATTCCGTCTTTGATATGATTTAAATCAAATTCCTCGTCATTATAATTTGCTTCCGATAGTGAAGAAAGTGACAGAGAGGTTATTGAAAACGAAAAAATGTCGATTGACAGGTTAGTCGGTATTCTCGACGCAGCAATTACAGGACTTGAACAGTGGAATTTTGTAACTGAACAAGAAATTATGTCTGTTTATAGAATTAAAGAGAAAGTATTATCACATAAAACGAAGCAAACAACTTACATTGAAAGAAATGTTTAATAAAGTAAACAAATAAAATATTAAGTTTTTTTTTTTTTTTTTTTTTTTTTTTTGTAAATTTTGATACCCTTTAGATCATAATTGTTCTTTATTTCATAAATTACCGTTTCATATTTTTAATTTTATAATTTCTTCATGCCATCTTACCAGATTTAAACTGATGATCTATAATCCGGAAAAATCGATAATCCGGAATCGCCGAAGTCCCGACGATTCCGGATTAACGACTTTTGACTGTATTGTAGTCTCTGACGTAAAATTTGAAGCTTGCTTTTATGCTATTGTAACAACTTGTTATCTTTTCGCTTCATTACATGCTACAAATATAAGGTGCGTCTGAAAAGTTCGGTGAATGGTCTCAGAAATTAAAGGAAACAAAAGTTACAAACAAATACATTTAATGGCCTTAAAAAGTAATCACGGTTAGCTACAAAGCACTTCTGATATGGTTGTAAAGCTGTTGGACACTCAGCAAATGCTTCTAGTGGAATCGCTCGAAGCACCGTAATCACGTATTGTAGGATATCCGCAACATCTGCAAGTCAGCCTTTCAGGGCTAATTAAGAAGGAGAAACAAAAACGTCTGCTGGCGCCGAATCTGGAGAATAAGGAGGGCACTGAAGAGCAGACACTTTGCGATGAGAAAGTTGAACTCAATGACAGGTGTTGCTGTGGAGGAAAGTCCACTGCCTACTCCTGCACAGTTGTGGCCGAACCCGTCGGAAGTGTTCCAGCACCCATTTCAAAACTCCCTCTTAAACTTCCGCGATAACAGTTCGACCCTCGGGTAGAAATTCATGATGGATCAAGCCCTTGTTATCGAAAGGTGATCAACATTGTCTTAATCTTGGGTTTTGTCAGACGACGTTTTTGGGAGGCGGGGAACACGATGAACACCATACCAATGACTGTCGCTTGGTCTGCGAACAATAATCATAGCACAAGGTCTCATCTCATGTAATGATGGTTTAAAAAAAAACTATGGATTCCGGTCAGACATGTCGATGTTTGCTTCTGCTCATCTGTCAACGTGTGGGGTACAAATCGAGTCCGCTTTTTCAAATGCTCATAAACAATAGTGCTTACACTGACTTTGCTTGGCTTCAATTCTTTTGTTATCATTCTCAATGACAGCCGCCGGTCATCCGCAAACATCCGTCACACTCATTCGATGTAGTCTGGAATTGTTCTTGTTGACATCGACCCGAACACGGTTCATCTTCCGCACCTTCCTTTTAATCTCTAAAACATTTAAACCACTCAGACATACACTTCTTACTCACTGCTTCAATTTTCTACACTTGCATTAACTTCCATAAATCTCCGTCGTCGTTTTCCTTAATTTGAAGCAAAACCTCATGTTGACGCATTGGGCCATTTTGCCATGATACGATTTCTCACACTGACTCCGTCAGCTTGGTCGCAAATTGCACCACTTCCTTACTTCGGTGATTTGTACGACAGGCGGCGTTTGTTGACATGTCTCTCAATGCGTATGCGCGTTGGCCTGAGCCTAACCAGCGTGGTTTTCAGCGTATGGGACCAATCACCTTGTATAACGCACCTTGTATGTGAAGGTGCCGCGCTGTTAGCATACGATGAACTCAAGTTCGAATCTCGAAAAAGGAAAAAGAAGCAAGTAACAAGGCTGTAATTTTTAAAACTTGAGTATGAACTCATTCCTCGTTAAAGCTGAAAGAATTGTGGTTCCAGTTCTAATAGCAATATCGCCTAAATCAAAACCAGACCAAATGTTCCTTTGAGCTTATTCCTGCATAAGATGAAATTTTTAAATAAACTTTTACTACTTATTCGCTATAAAACATTAAATTTATACAAAAGATATATATTCTCTTTCTTATGTAGAAGATAATTTCATCAGACAAAATTTATATTAATGCCCGGAGTATGGAAATGTATAATTAAATAAAATTAAAAAATAGTTCATAGCTTACATGTAGATAGAAACTGATATGTGGCTAATGCAAGTTGAGGAGATATTATATTAGTTCCTTGCTGCCCTCCTCCAAGTTTAGCAAAATCTGAAAAGTCCTGTTTAACTTGAGCTTCTTTTCTTCGCTGTTTCTTTCGATTATCAGCTGTAAAAAGAAAAAATTCTTATGGTAACATAAGAATTACACGAGGACAGAACAATACAGATCGCACAGTACCACAGTTCTTTGTAAAGAAGCATTTAGATGTAGCTTAGAAAAAGAGCATAGGTATAAAATCATTCAAACTAAGAAAAGCAAGAAAAGTTTGAAAGATCACAAATATACATTTTAAGACAATTTTCGTACTAAGCAAATAATAACACTGGATGCATATCAATAGCTCTTCAAAATATTTTTAATGCGAGGCATTGATGTATACTAGGGTGGGCCGAAAAAAACGTTTTTCGTCCCTCTTGCTATAATTGAAAAATCTGCTTAGCTAAGCAAAATGGGAAAAAAAAAAATTTTTTTTTTGAAATAAAACTATACTTTCTGTTTACGCATCACATCACTCAAAGTTTTGAAAAATGATGAAATTTTTATGTTTTTGTAACAATTATCAGTTTGTTAGAATATGAGAAACACACACACATACAAAATTACACAACTTGTGATTTCAAATTATTTATTGCTCATGCAAAAAGCTTAAACAACACAGTTTTTTGTAAAATGAGCAAAATTTCCTAATTTTTACTGCAAAACTTTAAATATACTATACAATTTATGTAGTATTTGTCAGTGGCCATCAGTGACAGTTTAGAGAACTTTGAAAAAAAAAAGGGTTGCGTCCAAGAATTTATGCAATCAGGATTAAACTATAAACAACATCATTAGTAAGTGAATCGTTTTATCACATCTCACGACGCTAGGTGGGACATTTCTGAGAAACGAGATTCTAGTAGCATTGGTTTAAACGTGAGGGTTTCGAGAAAAAAAAAACAGTACCAATGGAAGTGATGTGCGGCCTACAGGGAACACTTTTTGAAACTTTGCCGAAAGTGCTTCGTTTGTAAACGTGTTCCGCTTAGAGATCAACCAATCAGACGAAAATTCTGCTTCTGAAGTTTCAATGGTATTTCCAGTATGGCGATGGCTGTAATTTGCGGTCGGGGACGACAGAAATGGAAGCCGATTTTATCGAAAAAATACGAAAAAAACTGTATTTGCATGCAGCGTTTGATACTTACGTATTATCGCAACCAGGTTGGCACGATTTGTAAGTTTGAGTAAAAAAGTATGAAGAGAAAGAAAATGTACATTTATGAATTACAGATAATTTTTAATACAGTTTTTTATATTATTTTGTTTTAAAATATAAAATAGCAATTAAACCCTTCCGGTTTCGAATTTGAATAAGTTGCAGAATTATTTTTTCGGTGGAAATCTTTTGGCTATTGCTTTTAGCACTGATTGAAAACCGTCTTCGCCATTAACAGCTTGAGCTTGGCTTGGCGCCATATAAATTCGATAAGGTATGAGTCAAGATGATGACGGGCTGTTCCTCTCTGTTTTTTGTTGCGCCATTTGGCTGAGCCCCACATGCGCTCTACATGTTGTGTGTGAACGCCCGTGTTGGGATCCACAAAGTTATATTTGTGATTAACAGTTCCATGCAGAAATCCAGCATTTTCGAACTCACTTGTATTGTATCCTTTCCAGCAATCCGAATAAATGATGCTTCCTTCCTTGATATTTTCGCAAATTTTTTCCATGAGGGTAACGGCGCTTCTGTTAGGTACAGTAACCAAAAAAGTCTTTCTTTTCTCGGCAAATTCCGCCGAAAACCCATTGCTGTGGTAGTACACGCCCAGTGTTACTTTTTCTTTTTACAAATAAACTTTCGTCTAAACACGTAGGGTTGCCGTAAGTAGGGTCGCCAAATTTGGCGATTTATGCGAAATTTTGGCCTGGTTGCGTTAATACGTAAGTACCAAGCGTTTTTATAATATAATCGTCTGAGTCATTTTTAAAATGTTTATATACTAATTAAATTTATAATCACTGAAATTTCAGAATAGACAATATGTTAGGACATTCTTGTACAAGGTAACCAAAACAGTTCTTGCCGTTTTGGACAGTCAGAAAAAAAAAATTCAACAAATAATGATCACTGCTAATCCTCAAGTAATCACCATCTGCATCCAGAGCCTTTTGCCAATGAGTGACTAGCTGTGCAATGCCATAGCGGTAAAACTCAGGAGTCTTTGACGCAAAGAAGTCCGTGAGAGTCTTTTCGAGGTCCGGCCCTCTATTGAAGGATTTCATACGAAGATGGTTGTCCAGGGAATGGAAAAGGTGGTAGTCTGTTGGCACGACGACTGGGGAGTATGGTGGATGGGGTAGTGTCTCCCAGCTCAGTCAATGGATGGTGTCCCTGGCCTACCGAGCCACATGCGGCCTCACGTTGTCATGGAGGAGGAGTACACCCTTACGATTGACCAATGCTGGCTCTTTTATGCATCAGTCCCTGATGCACACTCTCCAATTGCTGCGAGTAAAGGCATCCACTGGGAGGAGCTCGTAGTGCACCACGTGATGACTAGTCCACCAGATACAGAGCATGATCTTGCGTGGCGTCGAAGTGTGAGGTAAAGGGTCCCGTGGTGACACAACCAATGTCTGAAACGTCTGGGTGTGTCATACTGGACCCACCTTTCATCGCTGGTGAGTACTCAATCAAATATGGATGCATTGAGGTGCCGAGTAAATAATGACAAAACAGGCAGCGACATGCTGTTGCTTGTTTGCATCGGACAGTGAGTGGGGTTGCTCAGCTTGTATGCCTTTCCTATGCGGTGCAAATGAAGTCTGATCGTTTCATCCGATACGTGGAAGTGTGCAGCAAGCTCACCTCACGTTTGGCTACTGTCACTCTCTATGGCTGCTTTCAGGGCCTCATCGTCCAGCGCTTGTGGCCGACCGCTGCTGCTTCATCACTAAGAGATATATCCCCTGACCTGAACTTCTGGAACCATTGCCTAGCGGTTCGTTCGTCAACGGCTTCAACTGGCAAATTCGGCTACTTGATTCTGCTGCTAACAGGCCCATTTTAAAATCATAGAGCAAACAATTCCGAACGAACGCCTTTGACGCGTTCATTTCAATCAGTCGCTGTGTGTTATGTTTGAAGTTCCAAGTTCCTCTCTAAGCCGCGATTAGCACGCAGTAATTACGTGCTGTGTTCCGGCTGTCTTGATTTAGATGCTATTAAGAGCACTGAAGGTAGAGAAATGCTTGAGCTGAGCAGTGCAGGAAGCTGAGATGTAGAAAGGGGTGTGACCAAAGTCACGCGAGCTCCGAGATGACATATGATTGGTGTTGAAGTATTCGTCAAAAAAGTAACATATATAGAATACAAGAAAATAGAAAATATAAAATGCAGAATAAATAGTAGAAAAACAATATTCTTGGTTAAATATAGATTATATACATATGTACATAGTTTCAGGAAAGCTTGATTGCAGGAAATATATATCTGAATAGCGGTGTGCACAGGTCACGTGGGACTCCACCTCTCTCTGATGAATGCTGCTTCGTTTTGGACTTAGAGTTTCAACAGTCACTAAATGAAATAGCAATTACGTAGAAAAGTTCTGATTGCTATTCAGGATGAAAGCAGCAAAACGACGGAGATGTCTGTCTTCGTCTAATATTTCATAATGAAATAGATTAAATAAATTCAGATGTTCACAGTCTTTAGCTTTTCTGAAGAACTTATCATTTGTTTTGCGTAAGAAAGTATCCAGTGGCTCGATTTTTTAAGCCCCTGAGAAGTACTTTGTTCCGCACAAAGTAATGAGCACTAATTAAGACACAATAACACGCCGAATAAATACTAATTCAGAAGTCAAACAACAAAAATCAGCGTTATACCTACAAAATTTTCACAGGACTAGTTTCGATGGTTTTACCGAACCATCATCTTCAGCTGCAAAACCGCAAATGAACAAGATAGGAAATAATGATTAGATAAGATAAGAAAGCCTGGACAAGAATAAGCAAGTGGCGCCATCTGTTGGCGAAACCAGAACTAAAACATAATTTCTCTAAAAGCCGAAGGCAAATTTGGATTGGAATTAGGATCGTTAACTAGAACAGAAAGGTTTTTATGAATGTGAAATGCCTCTAGAAAATCCAGTTCTCCAATGGAAGATGTTTTTTGAATAATTTTGGCAGCAGAAAAATTGAAAGTGTGATTTTCGGACCAACAATGTTGAGCAACAGAAGACTTCTGTGTTTCCTTTTTTCTAACATATGCCTCATGTTCTTTGACGCGAAATTTTAAGGCTCTCTTAGTTTGGCCAATGTTGGTCCGAAAATCACACTTTCAATTTTTCTGCTGCCAAAATTATTCAAAAAACATCTTCCATTGGAGAACTGGATTTTCTAGAGGCATTTCACATTCATAAAAATCTTTCTGTTCTAGTTAACGATCCTAATTCCAATCCAAATTTGCCTTCGGCTTTTAGAGAAATTATGTTTTAGTTCTGGTTTCGCCAACAGATGGCGCCACTTGCTTATTCTTGTCCAGGCTTTCTTATCTTATCTAATCATTATTTCCTATTTTGTTCATTTGCGGTTTTGCAGCGGAAGATGATGGTTCGGTAAAACCATCGAAACTAGTCCTGTGAAAATTTTGTAGGTATAACGCTGATTTTTGTTGTTTGACTTCTGAATTAGTAATGAGCACTAGTTATCAGTCTTAGAAAACGATTTTGTACAACCTGAAGCTTGTTTAAGTCAGTTTTTGTCACAGTAGTCGTCCAGGCTGGTGAGGCATACGTCATGCTAGGATGAATAGTTGAAAGATAGATTAATCTCTTTTTGGTGAGATCAAGTTTTGAAAAGCGTCCTAACATAGGATACAAGCATTTCATTACAAAGATGGCTTTATTTCTCACATTATTAATGTGGTTAGTCCATGTCATTTTACTATTCAGGGTAACTCCTAAGTACTTAGCATGTTTCACAACATGTTTGAAGTACCGATGCAACGTGCTTTTATACTCTTGCAGTTCATCGCCAGATTTAGCAACTATTTCTGTGTTGGGGTTCACTCTTCCAAAGACATATCAGAAACGGCAAGAACTTTTTTGATTACCTTC